CCCCAAAACCCCAAAACCCCAAAACCCCAAAACCCCAAAACCCCGACACAAATTTTCAAAGTTGATCACATAAGTATTTTAATAATAAAATTATAATTTTACATTAGGTTTGGTAAAATGGTTAGGTCTTCATCGAAGGCTGAAGAATTGTAGATGTTTATGTACTCTTTGAAGATTTTCTTCTTGGTTTCTGAGAAGAGACTTCGGATTTCAAGGATCCTCCAGACTTTGCAGGTGGTGTTGTTGAGGCGGCTATGGGTGCTGAGAGCGATGGGGTCTAGTACTCACAGTCTGGTCTCACCTTCCTCGCTGATTCCTCAGTAGGCTTTTAGCATAGTTAGGGGGATAGCTTCTTTCATGAAGATAATAGCCATTTTGTCAATATCGAAATAGTCTCCGAAGTAGGTTAGGAACCAAGCGAAAAGACGAGCTGGGTGTGTGTCTTCTGAATGGAATCCTTCACAGGCATTTATCTTCTCAATATAATATGCTGCGTAGAGCATTAAAAAGAGACTGAACGAGCCTAATCCTCCGGTGTATGGATCATTGAATCCATTACGGACTAACAACTTCTTGAGCATCAGACAGATAGGTGTAAGTATTGGAAACTGCATCAATCAGTTTTGAACAAATCCTGCTGCTTTTATGCCATGGTGGTCAGTCCCATTAGCATTACAAGTCATGCTAATATCTACTGCTAGTATTTTTAGATTCTTATCAAGACTCTTAAAATCTACTAAAGGTAGCCTAGAAGAGTCATCCTTCACAACTTCATCGTAATATTCCAACAGATCAAAGGAGAGTTTGATGATTGGAACAGTCGTCTCAGTAATGAGCAACTTCTTAACAATAAGTTTCTTGCTGAACCTCTCTGTTATCTGGTTATATAGCAGAGTAAGATCACTTTTGTGAAGAGATAGGTCTCTTTCTACACCTACTCCAGTGATTACAATGTCCATATCACTTTCCGGAAGAGCTAGTCCTGTTGCAACTGATCCATAGATGTGAGCCTGTACATCAGAATATCTCTGACTAAAAGTATCAAGAGCAATCTGTTCGATCTCTTGCTTAATGTCATTACGATATTCTGTTATCTGGTTTACCTGGTCTGTTATCTTGTAGGTTTCAGCTAAAATCTCTTTTGAAAGAGTTGTATAGAGGAAATGTTCTCATTCGAATTGTCTCTGAGCAGTTGGATCTACCTGAGAGTGCATCATAGCCTGATCTTGTTGGTAATAACCTATCATAAATTAAAGCTCACAATTATTTGGAAAAACAGTTTTAGAAGAAGACATACCTATGTTATTATCCATATACTGATTATTCTGTATATATTCGTTGGAACTATAAAAATTAGCCATGTATAATACTCTTGATAGTAGTTGTAACTATTGCTTCTATTATAGCTATATTGTAGTCAGAAGGTTACTTACTCCTCAATATCATTGAAGTATTTTGGCTCAGAATACTCCTCATCGCATTGATAAAATGATGATACTGCTTCTTGAGGAATATTCTTGCTACCTCTGTCTTTTCTGTTGTGCTTTCTTGTATCGTAGTGATGATCATTCTGCTTCCATTGTTCCTGAGGGGGTGAGTAATCTGTACTAAAATCACTCACCTGATGAGTCTGGCTTTCTTGAGGAGGGATATTCCTAGTGACAGGAAGAGAATTGTGCTGCTTGAGAGAAGCAGAATTAGCTTCTGTTTTGTCTTCCTCAGTATCTTTATCTTTAAATTCTTTCTTTTTCATCTTGGAATCAGCAACATCACTAGTCTTCCCAGATTCTATTTTAGGTTCGACCTTCTTCTCAGGAGTGTTTGGGGAATTGGCAGATTTTGACTCTTTGCCCTTTTTCTTTATCTTCCCGCTCTTTTTCTTTGGGTTTGATGAAAATACAGAGTCAATGAGGTCTGACTCCCACATTGATCCAGACTGGGAAATAGATTTGCTATTTCAGCTCTTATCCTCCTCATCGATGTCTTGCTGGTCACTTTCTGATCTATATATTGGTGAATGCTTAAAGTACCAATAGTTAGCCCTTGTTGTCTTTAAAGCCATATTTTGCTTAGTTTTCGCATTTTTCTTTTTCTTAGATTTCTTCCTATTCTTAGTTGTGTTTGAGAGATCTAAGTCTTCCTTCAAAGTGTGCCTTTTTGAAGATGATTTAAAGAGTTGAGCATCTTGGTTTGAAATTACAGAGGATCCTTTAAAAGATGAACTCTCAGAAGTAGGGTTAGTGGAGTGGACTCCCTTCTTTTTCTTCAGATTTCTCTTTCCTTCTGACAAATTACTCTGATTCTCAGTGTTGAATGAAGGATTGGGTTCAAAATATTGATTCTTCTCCTCTCTTTTCCCTTGTTTCTTTTGACCAATCCCTGCTCCATGAGTTTGCTTATGAGAAGAGAGACCACTTTGGTCACTATCTCAGCTATTTTTAGATCTTTTGGCAAGTTTCTTTTCTTCTTTGGCTGCTTCTCTCTTTTTCTTCTGCCATTTCTTCTTTTTATTTTTCTTTTTATTTCTCTTATCATAACTTCTCTTAGATTTGGTCTCTTCAAATATTTGAGGATCTTCTTTCTCAGAAAGTTCGTCCAATTTATGTTGGTCTTCAATACCTCCTTCACTCCGAGTCTCTGATATGAAGTTGTCTGAAATATGAGAATCTTCAAACTTAGCCTCTTTCTCTTCAACTTTTATAATTGAAGATGCTTCATTAGGGACTGCATCTTCAGAGTTCTGTGAGCTGGAATTTTCAGCTTCATCAAACTCCTTGTTGTTCATATCCTCTATACCCTTGTTGTAGTCGCTGATAGTCTGACCTTTGTGTGTATCTTTACTCTTTAGACTCTTATCTAGACCTCTGAGGCCTCTTTTTGATCATTTGGCTCTATTGCACCTAAGTTTGAAGGTTTAAATGGTATTATAAGCTCTTCACTAAATATTCAATTTTTAAAATTTGATGCTTCTACTATCTGGAATGTTATCTTTAGTAGAACTTTCTGGAGTTTTAGACTTCTCCTCCTGTAAATCTTGTTGAGGAATTTCTTTTTCTTCTTCTATATCTTCATCCTGTTTATTTTGTATGGAAGTATCGATTTCATTGAGAAAAGCTTTGCCTAGCTTGTTGTTGCCAGAAACTTTAACCTCTAATTTTTCAAACTGATCATCTGTTTCAGGCTCTTCAGTTACTTGGTTCTTAGTTTCTTCCTTTTTCTTGAGCTGATTTTTATTTATCCTTCTTATTGTTCCTTCGTTTGGATTTTTCCTTATTTTTATTTATTTTTGCTTGTCTTCTTAGGATCTTTAGGTGCATGATCGATTGAGGACTCGAATCAGAGCATATCCAGAGCTTTCTCTCTACCCTGGTGTGCTAAGTCATTATAATAATAGCTAGCGAAACACCTAATGTCTTCATCAATTTTCTCATCATAGTTATACAGTTTCAGCTTGTAGAGGATTTCATGAAGCTCTTCATTATTTTGTTGGGTTTCATTCCCTGCGAGCCTGTCATCTGATATTTTCTCCTCGAGATATGTTCTGAAGCTACTGACAACAGCTTCCCATTGCTCTATTACTTCATAATCTTCTGGGTCTAACTTTTTGTGTGAATAGGGAGTTGATGTAACTTTTATCAACTCCTTTCTGCCTTCTCTTTTCACAGGGTTTTTATTTCAGAAAATCTATAGCAATCTTCCTATCATTGCTTTCATCTGAAATGAATGGAGTGATGATATTCACTAAGTCCAAATTTTCAACTATTTGCTCTTTATCAATGTAAAAATTAGCATCAACAGGCTTAATCATGTTCTTAGGACTTTTGCTCTTTTTTTTACCACAGGATCTTTGATAAGTCTTATCAAGAGCAACTTCGATCAATCACCAGATTTTGGCTTTGAGCCTCGATTCTATCTTGTCTGGTCTCTTTTGGTACCATTGAATGCCTTCTAGGCTAGGGGAAGATCCGAAACTTCTGGAGTCTTGCTCTTTGAATCAAACTCTAGTGTTTTCTTCTAAAAGGTCGAAGAAGACGTCAACATTTTCGACCAAATCTGAGTGAAAACTAAGGGTGTCTTCTGGAAAATGTGTGTCAATGAAAGAGATGTGCTCAAAAATTGCACTGTTCCCTACAGAACAAGAAGTCGCAAAACTTATATGAGAGTTGTACCCATTTATCCTCGATGGGCCATTCTCTGCAATACCCAAGAAATCTTCATTGGAGTTTGAAAAATGATGGAACCTGTCTCTGTATTGGCTAGCTTCATGGTCAGAATTATGGATGCTAAATTTGGACCAATTCATCTCTAATTCTGTTCTCAATATCATAATTTTTTGTGAAAATCGTGGAAATGGCTAGCATTCTCTGTTCAATAGAAAGAGTCTCCATCCACTCCTTCTTAAGTAGTTTCTCAGTTGGAGTATCCTTCTTGGAGGACTGTTGGGCTTCGGAAGGCAGGAGGTCAAAATACTTTCAGTCTGATAAACAGTTTCCGCTTGACTTGCCACTATGATCCGCAAATAGGTCTAGAGTGTGAGTATAGGCTTACTTTTAATAACTTTATCATCCACAATAGTTTTATTACTTTTAGAATCCATTTTCTGGTATTTGCTAGAAGGAATGAAATCAACTTTAACAAGGAGTACTCTATAAAATTCTGCAACCCAATAGAGTCCAAGGCTAATTTTAGACTCTCAAGATAAATTGTATTAGAAGCATTCACACAGTTATATGAACATTTTTAGTATTTTTCGAATTCTTTCTAGAATATCTAAGGTCTTTGTTCATTTCACTAAAAAAATTCCTTGAGATTTGGGAAATACTGACTATGGGATGAATAGAGTTACAGGAATATTAAGCAGAGGCTCATGAAGAATAAAGTTGCTCATTTTCTGCTTATTTATAGATGCACCTTAAGCTTTAGCTGTGGTAGAGATAAATCGCATGGAGAATTGAGAAATTTGGTGATAGAGTTAGCTAAGTTTAGGAACCAGACAGAGAAAATTGTCCATAGAGAGTGGTTTCTATCTTCTATTCGATCTTTTGTATTTACTATCTAATTATCAACAATTAGCAGCTATAACATTTCTTTCAACTTTCTTAAAAGAATATAGAAGAATTTGTGCAGCTTCTTGTTTATAGATGCCTTCAATTATTTGATATTGAGACTAATCATCTCGGAAAGATCATCTTATAAAATTATTATATTCTTTAATTTCCTCTAAAACAACCTTTGCTGACATCTAAGCACTAGTTTGGTGAAAGTTTAGAGCAACAGGCTAGAAAATCCAATATGTACACTTTACAAAAGAATTGGTAGTCTCAGGGATCCTATAGTAGCGGATTTTATAAGGAGCCATTGATGTAGCCATCGCTTACCTTACCTAAATTTAATAAATAATATTTCGACTCTCTTATCTCATTTCGGGGTTTTGGGGTTTTGGGGTTTTGGGGTTTTGGGGTTTTGGGG